TCTGAGATGAGGTGTTATGTACACTACTTTCATTATTCGGACTATTGTCCTCATCTCGTTTCAGCCATTGTATGCTCCGGCCTTCTTCAGGTGGTTGGAATGTCGAATTGAATCCTTTATTTTGCTCGCTGGGGTAAACTGTTCTAGTTCCATGTGCCATGTCTAATGGATGTCAGTTATCTCCTGTTAATTTCCTTCTCCAGTGCCTTAACCAGATATTGAACTCACACGCTTTGGGTCCTGTCACTGGATCTAACTAACACCTTTATCCACTGTGCCTTGCGGACATCTGTGCATGAATTTCTGGGTATTATAAACCTAATGTCTTCAGCAACCATATTTTAACAGAGCTCATATTCCATTTTTTGCTGTTATCATTGCATGGCTTTTACCAGAGCTCATATTTCCCTAGCACTCCTGGTTTCCATATTGTATTCATTTCTATTCTTGGTCGGCTCAGGAGATTTTTGTGGCCTAGCATATGTGCTGATTCCTTAAGTTTACAAATTTTCCAATGATGTCCTTTGTCTATGATTTCAACCTGATCCTTCAGAGGATGGTGATCTCCCTTTTCTCTCCATATGTGGTCAGCCACACCTGATTTTTCCACTTCTCCTTACAGCTTTCTGGTGTTCTTGAAGCCTTACCTTAAGGGGGAGGCCTGTCTCCCCTTTATATTTCTTTCTGCAGCTGCACGGGATGGTGTACACACAGTCTTTAGTCATGTTCTCCTCTATGGGAGGTCTTACTCAGGAGATATATCTGCAAAGTGTCATCTAGCTTTTGAAGGTTGTCCTGATGTTATATGGACCACAGATCCTTTGTATTTTCACATAAGGCAGGCAGACTGTTTTCTGAGTGTTGTTGTCCTCCTCTTGTTGTACCCACCTATCCCAGTTTATTGGGGCTGCTGTAGGGTAGTTGTTACATTGTAGGGTACTACTTATACTGACCAATTCTTTATCTAATGTATCTGGGTCGCCACTTATGACTTTTGCTTGGTGTTGTAAGCAGTGGAAAATCCTTTTCTTTCCGCTGTACAGATGGTGGGAGTTGAAATTGAGGTACTGTCTGGTAAATGTCAGTTTATGGTATACAGATGTATTGAATACATGCTCTGTTCAAGATATTAGAACATCCAGGAATGGGTATGTGCTGTTACTCTCTTTCTCCATCGTGAACTGTATCGAAGGTCTTATTGAGTTCACATGCTCCAGTAGAACCTGAACATCTTCCTGGTGTGCCCAGAGCATGAAGGTTTCATCGATGTACCTTAACTATAGAGTTGGCTTTAGAGATATAGATTCTAATGCCATTTCCTCAAAGTATTCCATATTCGTCATTGCTGGTGACAATGCTAAGCCCCCATCCTGTTGATATATGCGTGATCCCATTTCGAAGTGATTGTGTGAAATTGTTTGTGTACAGAAAGTCAACATCTCCATCAGATTATCTATTGGAATACTGGTCTGTTCTTCTAGGGATGTGTCAGAGGCCAATCTGTCTCTGACTACTGAGAGTGCTTCCTCTGTGGGTACCTTAATGAACAAACTCACCACATCCAAGCTCACCACCTGGTTGGATAGGATGGGGGCATCTTTGATTATTTCCATAAGTGGACAGAGTTTCAGACATATGAAGGCGATTTTCTGATCAATGGGTCAATTATATCTACAAGGAAGTGGCTCAGAGGGTGGCACACAGGGCCTTGGCAACTAACAATCAGCCTGAGTGGAATACCATCTTTGTGAATCTTAGGGAGACTGTATATGTGAGGTAGCTTGGTGTAATGCTGTGACAACTATACATCTTAGGTGTGAAGTGATCCTTGTTCTTAGTTAGTATCTGTGACAGTTTGCATTCCGTTTTCTTTGTAGGATCCTTTTTTACTTTGCTGTAACTACCATTTCTAATGAGGTCTTCCAGCTTTCTTGTATAATCTGATTTGTCCATCACTGCAGATGCATTGCCTTTCTCAGCCTGTAGTATGATGATGTTTTCATTGCTCTGTAGGGATCCGATCGCCAGCCTCTCCAGTTTCATGATGTTTGACTTGGACGGCTTGGCGTTCTCCAAGGTCTGTCTCAGCTTCCACCTTAGTTCATCCACCTGAGCCTGAGGGAAGTTCAAAGCGACCTCCTTGATTATGGCAATGATGTCCAAGTATGGCACTTGCCTGATGGTTGTGGTGAAGTTGAGACCCTTATTTAATACTGATTCCTCAGAGGCACTCAGTTGGTATTGACTGATGTTGATTACAGCTTTCACTGGTGGGTGATGGACCTTGTGCATCACCTTCTGATCTTTCAATCTGTTTATTTTTTATTTAATTATAACACTATTTTTAATTTAATTTAACATTATTTTTTATCCAGCTACATCTACCTGGCTGAATATTCGAGAAATCTTGTCAGAAAAATATGTAGTTGGATAAAAAATACTGTTAAATTTAAAAACAGAGTTTCTACTTGAATATCCATCAAAAATAATGTTTAAACAAGAAAAATTAAAAATAACAATATGTCGGATTTAATCTATTTCCTAAAAATAAATTGTCTTTGTTTACCTTAGGATACTATTCAAAGCAGATATGAATGATTTGAGAATCGGCAGAGAGTGTGTGTTCAAAAGGCACTATTCGAGCTTTGTTTAACTGGAAGTCCTACGTGTCAGGCATGTCAGATCCAATGACGGCTCTTGATAGGGGATGCAGGTTTGAATCATATGCATATTTTTCTGACAAATGAATATTCAGTCCAGTAGATGTAGTTGTATAAAAAATGCTGTTAAATTAAAAACAGAGCTTCTACTCAAATATGAGTATCCATCAAAAATAATGTTTCAACAAAATAAATTAAAAATAACACACACACACACACACACACATATATATATATTATAAATTAATTGATTTAAAATATGTTTTTTTCTCTACACATTTCTAACCATGTTTCAAAAATTTTGAAACATGCTTAGAACTGTGTAGCGAAAAAAAAAAATATTTTAAATCAATTAATTTATAATATTAATGCTCTGTAAATTTACATTGAGCACTATTTTGTAAAAATAAAAATATCTATAAGAACACCGGATTATATCTTACTGTTCTTCCTTTTATTTATATATATATATATATATATATATATATATATAATATTATTATAAATGTTTATTTTTAGAGGGGACATGTATCTGAGAAGATATTTCAGTTTTTTAAACAGTGAAATTAATGACTAACAGCCTAGTTCATTGAAAATCTCATTAAAATAAATGTACCTCTCAGCAGGAATTGTTTGATCTGTTTGTTTAACAGCATATTAACTTCTTATAGGTCATTTAATGCTAAAATTTTATTTTCTTGTGAGCTTCAGCATTTTTTTTAAATGTATTGCTGGTATTTTTTCCAATGTATTTTTATATTTTCATGCATTGGTCAGCAACCAATCTAAGAGAAGGAATACTCTAAATTCCAGGCCATGAAGAATGCAATGAGAAACCACTCCATTGCCATTCCCAAAAATGCATTGCAATTCACAAACAATAAAGAAAAGGAATCTGTAGAGTCATGATCAAAATTGGCCTGAAAGGATTTGGCATTACACAATGTATTCACCTGTTGTGAAATAATGCTTAGAAAATGGTTAGCAATTCATTGCTATGGAGTTTATTTCTCAGTATTGCAACCTTGTGTCAGATTAGGTGATATATATCTATATATATATTAAACTTTAAGCTTTCTAAAGAATACCAGCATATAGACAAAAGAATCTTGCCTAACAGAGATACTACATTGGTTCTTGAACATCACTGAAACAGTCAAAAATACTGTTCAAGCACTTTTAACCTTTTCAATCATTCAGTCAAAACAATTGCATAAACATGAACTTCAAACAGTTTATCAACAATTTTGATTCCAATACAAAATACCTTATTTGAAAATTGGAAAAATTAAACAAGCAGATAAGAATATTTTTATCATCTTGTCATTAAATAATTTGTTACTATAGTTCACAAATTAAATACTATACTCTTGTAAAACAATGTGTTGTTGTTCACATATAACTTTTATATTTCTTCCTTTATGTGCCATGTCTCTTCAGGATGTTGGCAATCATGGCTCACCACAATTTCCTGTCCTTCATAGCCCTTAATAAATTTTGTCTTTTTGTTATTTCTCCTAAACCTTGTTCTGCCATACGTTTACTCGACATCACTAAGTAGGTTATGCACTGCTTTCAATTGTTCCTGTTGCCTTCAATCTGTCCATTTCTGTTGCTTCGTCTCCACTTCATCTTTGAGGAGATTGTCCAGCATTCACTCCCATACAGGAGACTGCTATCATGTAATAGCTCAGTACCCTGTTTCTTAATATTCTGCTTGGAATTCATCTTTGGCTATCCCAATGCACTTTCGGATTTCAGTATTGCACTTTCCGTCCTCTGTTAAAACATTTTCCAGATATTTAAATCACTCGTTTGATTTTGGTATCTCCAACTTGTAATTTGCATTTTGGGCAAATCCTTTTGCTGATAACCATGAATTCTGTCTTGCAGTTGATTTTTAATCTTTTCTCCTCATTTTCCTTCACTACCTTCTGTAAGAATTTTTGTAGTTTTCTTTCTATGTCTGCTATCAACACTGTGACATCTGCATATCTTATGTTGTTGAAATTGTAGCTGCCAATAATGAATCCTGTTAGGATTTCTAATTCTCTCAGAGTTGCTACACTATATAGGTTGAATAAGTCTGGTGAGAAGACACATTCTTGTCTTACACCACTTTCTATTTTTGTATATCTGCTGTACTCATTTTCTATCCATTTGCAGACATTTTGCTGCCAGTCTTGTAAATAAACAATTGAATAAATAACTAATATTTAACATTTTTGTTGTTAATTCTAAAAATTATAAATTAATTTTCATTTTATGGTTTTATTAAAATTCAGGATTTTGATTAACAATTCCGAGTCACTAATCATTACAACACCCACATATCCAAGGTTACAGCACCTGATATTTCCAAATGGTGACCCATCTAGGTACTGACTGGGCTCAATGTTTCTCAACTTTGGTGATTGTATGGGAACAGGTGTTTCAACATGATATGGCCATAAGCATTAAAATTATTAAGGGAGTATACAGTAATAATATTACCAAGAGAAAAACATCTTTTTGATACACAGGTTCTTTTTTGTCTGGTCATAAGTTAAACTTTACCAATTTTGCTTTCTTACCAATGTGACATGGCTTCCCTCTGTCTTTTCTACAAGTATTTTTATGGCAACTGCTCTGATGGGATTTTTTTCCTGGTGTCCTGAATAAATGAATTTAAGCATACTACTAGATTAGCATCTAGGTTCTACCTGTTTACTGTTGAAATTTTTAAATACAAGCACCACTTCTACTCCAACAATTTCTTTTCTTACAATTGCCACCTGTAGGGTTAGGGCTTTTAAGCCTTTTCTGTTTACTTGCTTTTCTAATAACTACAATCTTCAAAAATTTAAATGCAATGTCAATGACCATCTTCTGTCTTCTTGAAACCCTGTTCATCTTTTGTTTTTTCCTCAGTCCTCCCTATACTCAGTCTTTTCTCTCACTTTCACTTCCTGTAACCCCCTGTGTACTAGTGGCATTACCACCTTGCTTGGGGTGGAAAGTTTTTAAAAAAAAACAAAAGCAGTATTTCACTCTTTTTTTCTAGGTTGGTAATAGGAAGTTGTTCTCATCTACTTATAGAACAACATTTGATTTGGCTCAAAAAAATTGTTGAAACTGATTTATAGATAAGAGATAACTTTAATTTTATAACAATCCTAGAATGGTTCTGTAAGCTTTTATAATCTGAGAAATTTGAGCAAACTGGTACAAATCAACCCAATGCTACCACTGAGATTATTCCTGCTGTCAAAAATGATGAAAATTATCTAAGATTTTGATATTTTATATGTGATATTTTATAAGTGATCTATTACAAAATTACTGTTAATTTATCATGAAACTAAAAATTATTTGAGACATAAATAAACTACAGTGTTTTAATTTGTCAAATTTAAAACAGCAGAAAACTCTATTTCTGCAATGTCATCAAAAGTGTTCACTACAGAGAGATGGGAAATTCACCCATTTCTATATTGTGGAATCTTCTGTTACCCTTTTGCCAGACATGCATTCATGAAAAACACTATCAGCAGAAGTAACCCCATTTCAGCTTTCAGGCATACATGATGTGGACCTGAGAGGCTAGTTCTTTTTCACTCCAGACCAACATTGTGACTGGATGTAAAGCTTAGCGCTCTATGCAATAGCAACAACATGGCATAAACAGTATGCCTCATGCTGATTCCTCAGCAGTGTAAGTTCAACTTTAACCTTCATTATTTGCAGAGACACTTAAGAACATTTCTTGAAATTTTTTCTACATGAAAGATGTTTCTGATAGAATAAATATTTCTTGTCTCACTCTTTTGTTTGTCTATTTTTTCAACACTTAGTTTTTGGTTAACACATGACTCCCAACCTAATAATACCAGTTTGATGACCACACAGATAGTTGTGAGTTTCTTTACTTCATGTTAATGCAACATGTCCTACACCTCCACCACAGAGAAAAGTGTTGTAAACCGCCACCCCCACCCTGTATTATGATGGCCATCCTGGATATGATGATAAACTACATCAAGCAGCAAGGCCTCTGATCAGTAGCTTTTGAGGAGTGTGGAACAATCTCTTAATTGCTGTTGTTGCCAGGTCCACTGTGACCCAAGGTGGTAGCACCTGTTAGAGTCCCAGCTATGAGCAAACTATCCTGCAATTTAACCAATAATTGGGAGTAGAAGAGATGGATTTATGCATTTTTTAAAAGCATTAGTGAATTAGGAAAGTGAAAGATGCCTTCCAAAAGCTAGGCAAAGTATTAAGAAACAGAAAAATTTCTTTAGAAACAAAGAAAAGTGTACTGAACTGTTATGTAATATCAGTTCTATATAGCAGGGAATGCTGGACAATCACAGATGAAGAGGCTTGAAATAACAGAAATGTGGTTCTACAGAAGGTTGTTGAAGATATCATGAACTGAACATCAGGAAAAGACAGTTGAAATTTCTAGGGCACATAATGATGAAAGATGGTTTGAAAATTTTGATACTCACAGGACAGATTGAAGGCAAGAGAAAACAACACAGAACCTACCTAGTGAATTTGAGTGGAACATGGTTTACAAGAGATAACAAAAAGACAAAATTTATTAAGAGCTACAAAGGAAAAGAAAATTGTGGAAATATTTGATTGTCAACATGCTGAAGGATAACTGCACATAGGAGAAGAATAAGATATATACCTACCACACAGGTCAACTGCTGATGTGTTAATGGTGATTGCTGAAAGAGTCTATCAAGTTCAGGCTGTTGCTTTGGATATATCAAAGGCTTTTGACAGTGTTTGGCATATTGGTCTTCATTGCAAGTTCAAAGGTTATGGTATTTCTGGATAAATCTTTGAAATGATTTCTGATTGAATTGCAAAATGAATGTTGTCCTGAAAAACACTTTTCTAGATGTTCTTAATTAGAAAAAGATAGTTGAAAATTTGGCAATTACAGAACATACTGACAAGACAGAGGAAAGCAGCAAATAACCTATCTGATATGCTTGTGTAAATGGTTGGCAGAACAGGGATTAGGAGAGATAACAAAATAATGACTAAGAGCTACATAGGACAGGAAGTTCTGGAGAGCTATGATCTTCCATGTCCTAAAGGAACAATGCATATAAAATAAGAAGAATATTTAATGTGTACTTAGTGTAATTGTTATCATGGCAGAAAATGGAGTTAGTGAACAATGTTCAAATTCTAACCTAATCTGTTGCATTAATTTCTGTGTTAATTGTTTGGTTGATCAATTTTGTTTTGCAGCATATCAATACCACTATGGGTTATTTAATGCCGAAATCTAAATATTATGAACACAATTTATGGCTTTAACTAAATATGTTTTGAGCACAATTGTGTGACATTAACTACAGATAACATGTATTGTTGTTCATTTTGCTATAAAATGTATTGCTGGTCATTTTACTATAAATAGGTATTGTTGGATTGTTGGTAATGTTACTATAAATACATATTGTTGGTAAGTTTTTATATAAACCTGTATTGCTGGTATTTTTACTATAAAAATGTATTTTTATACTTTCATGTTGTTTTGTTTGGGATTCACTATTTACCCATAGCTGGGGCCCTAACAGGATGATTCAGGGTGGACCTAGGAATAACAGCAAGAGGTGATTTCATGCTCCTTAAAATTTTCAATCTCCTGATCAGAAGTCTTGCTATCAAATGTAGTTTATCATCACATCCAGAACTGTTTCATGTTAATGTCATTGGGGAACACAGGTTAGCCTTTCTTCTCTCCCCATCTATGGGTTAAATAGTAGGGTAGACTGAGTTCACTAGCTTTTGGTAACAACCTGTCTAGGAGGACATCTCTGAATTTAAAATTATGGAGAAGGCATTGGAAGCTAATTCACTATATTTCCCAAGAAGTCATAGCAATTCATTGAGAATAAAGGAAAGAAACCTGTGCAGATCCCTGATTGTCTGCATTCTGTAAGAGCATGGTATTTACAGAAATATTTAATATTTATTTACTAATTTTAGATAAACATTTAGCATAGATTTTGTTATAAATTCTGTTAATATAAAGAATCACTAAGCTGGAACAAATCCATAAGTGATAGGCAAGAATAGGGCAGAACTTACTACAAAAGTAATAGTCTAAAGAACTAGTCTTCTGTTCCACAATGAAGTTCATTGGGACATTTCCTATAAAAAAATTTGTCTTGCAGGGGAGTAAGACTCTACCAAAAGTAGCCACCTTCCAGCTGGATACTTGCAGGGTCAAACATAAAACTCACCAATGTCTACCATTTTGGTTCTAGGGAAAAATTATGGAGGTTAACAAGGTTTTGTGTTTGTGTATATTTTATGTGAAGGTGTGTATTCTATATGTAGACAAAAGGAGAAGCATACAAAACTTGAGTTTCGACTACAGATGTTTATTCTTTTTATGGTTACTGTATTGAAACAAAGTTCTCAATGTCATTTGGGGATGTTTGTTCTCTTTCTAGTCCAGAAGTTGAAGTAGGTAAGTACAAATATCATATTCATGATTGAGCTCAAGTCAGCCTTATACAGAGTTGGAACAACCAAAGAAAATTTTCTACTTACTTTATTGTTCGAAGGTTAGACATGGTTATGGAAATGCCTGTTTTCTTTTTCTTGGTTCAGAAGTTAGGGTAAGTCAGTCCAAGTATCCTTACCATGGTCACTGTCAAATCAGTCTTGCACTAAGTTTGAACAATCTGAAAGAAATTTTGACCTATTTCATAGCTTGATGTTTTTAGAAGACACATGCGAGTAGGAAGTGAGTTCAGTTGTCAGTGGACTGGGGAAACAAATGTGACACAGTGGGGATGTCCTTTTCATGTGCTACTACATCTTGAAGCAAGGGGAAGGAAGCAAAAGAGGAAAGAAAATGTTTGTTTTTATAGACTTAAACAACAACACCTAATTGTATTTGATGAAGCCAAAGGGGGTAATAAAATTTCTGGTTTCTTTATTACTATCATCATGGGAAAATATATTTCTTTTTTTTTTTTTATAATTCATTATAACTCATTATTATTTTATTGATTGATTTTATTTCATTTCCCTACAGAAGCAAGACGCCAGGAGAGAGTTCCACAAGGAAAAACTGCAAGAGAAGAAACTGTTAGCATAGAACTTATGGTTACTAGCCATTTCAACAGTAAAATGATGAAAACTTGCCACCAATCTAGTACTGCACTTAAATTCATAATGTCTAGGTACCATAAAGGAAAGTTCATTGGAACAGTTATTCATGTCAACCTTTATTGAATCTCATTCAAGCTAGACCTATGTCTACTTTGTTGAGTCTCATGCAAATTGAACCATTATCTACCTTTTTGAATCACATGCTCAGTGAACTAATGTCTACCTTATCTTTTATTTATTCTATACTAGCAGTAGAGCCCAGCGTTGCCCGGGGATGTAACAGTAAGAGATAGATCAAGTATCGACCATCATAAAGACT